CTTCTTCGGCTTTCTAAGATGGTGCCTTATTATAATAAAAGACTTATTAATAGAAGTTTCTAATGAAAATGCTTTGTAGTTTTCTCTTAGCGAGTTTTTCATACCAAAAAAAAAATCTGATGCTCCTTTTTCTTCTTCAATTGATAAAGAGTCCGGCTATTTATTAGCGTTGGGAAAAGAAACCACACCATGAAAAATAAACCAGAAATAAAAAGCAGCAAAAAAGATCATTGAATGCTAAAAATTTTAAAATAAGAAAAAAATTTGTTGATCCACATCACACCAAAAAAATTCATTATGAAAATGAGATAAATTGTGCGGTTCTCTCTTCTTATTACTTGATACATCATCAAAAAATCATCTTGATCGGGCACAACTCTCGAGACAAAATCAAGTTGTAAACTTTTAAATTACAATCTGAGCCCAAATGAGTTCAAGTTGAGGACTCAAAGCGCTACTAGATGGCTCAAACCACAATTTGGATTATCAAACGGTTCCAAAACATGGCATGCTTTTAGCCGAATCGAGCTACTCGATGAGACAAATCCAACGAGCCAAAGATCACTAAATTTTGAAATCACTAAGATATTTAGATGTCCAGTAAACGGTTTATGATCAAGGGAATCAACATCGGCCGTCCATCCAAACCACTCCAACTTACCATTGATTTTCCTTCTATTTACAAGACATGCCACTCTAGAAAATATATAAATAGAGCCCCAAATTCTCATGAAATTGGACCCAAAGCAAGGAATCAAGAGAAATATCGAAGATCGCTCTTGGCACCTCGCTCCTCCTCGACCACTGCCCGGACTTCTACTGGATCGCCACCCGACGCCGAAGTTCTGCCGGGCCACCATCCATCGGCGGACTTCCGTCAAGACCTCCACCTGACGTCGAACTTTCGCCGGACCGCCGCCCGATGCTAGATTTTCACCAGATCACTACCTAACACCGGAGTTTTGCCAAACCACCACCGTACCACCGACTAAGGCCCAAACATTCACCGAACCACCAACAGAAGTCAAAGTTCCGCCGAACCACCACCTGACGATGTACAACCGACTGAGGCCCGAACTTTCGCTGGACCACCGACATAAGTCAGCGTTTTTCCATATCAACGGATAATGTCCGAACTTCCGTCGGACCACCGCTTTATAACTATAGTCTTTTTGACTATGTCTCCTGCCGACTTTGGTCCTTCTGACCTCTGTCTCCTATTATGGTCCTTCCGACCTCCATCGCTAGAAAATGGTATTTCTGACCATTATCTCTTGCAGAATACAGTACTTCCGACCTCCGACGCCTTTTACGGTCCTTCCGATTTCCATCACCGGATAATGGTCTTTCTGGCCCCTATCTCCTGTCGACTATGGTCCTTCTGACCTTCGTCGCCTACTGTGGTCCTTCTAACCTCCATCATCAAACAACTGTCTTTTTTACCCCTGTGTCCTTCTGACCTCCATCGTCTACTACAGTCTTTCCGACCTCCTTCGCGAGACAATAGTTTTCTTGACCACTATCTCCCGCCGACTATGATCCTTCCGACCTCCCTCATCAAACAACTGTCTTTCTGACCACTATCTCCATCTGACAACAGTTCTTCTGACCTCTCTCACCCGACAACGATCCTTCCGACCACCGTCACCCGTGACTATGGTTCTACCGACTAAACGAACATTTCAATACCAATTCTTCCAAATCCCACCATGTAATATGATATAAATTTGCTACATCAACCCAAGGCCTTCCCCCTAAGGAAGGGCATCATTTGTAATCGACTGCAAATAATAGTTGATTTATTCAAACTGGGCTAAGCCTCATTGTTTTTCTTCCTTTTTAAGGGTTTCTACTTAAAAACTCTGATGTCTCTTATGAACGTCACACCCTCTCTTTTATTTGCTTGTGTGTTTGATCTTTGTTCAAAGCTAAGACATTAAATTTTATATTTCTCTACCACCGCGAATATTAGGACGCAACATTACTTTTTCCTTTTCACATTGTTTTACCAGATAAAAAGAGAATTTACAATTACAACAAAGGGCACAACCTTTCAAGTAAAATAAGAAAAAATACTCAGTCAGACTCGTAGTGCAGTGCCTTTGCACTGACTTCATTGTCGGTGTTGTGGCTCTGTGTTCTTTATCTCATAGGATTTTCACCGGCAACATCTTAACACAAGATTTACGACACCACGATGTTGTATAGAAAAACAATTTTTAAGATTTGAGTCAACAATACAACCCAATTTATTGATCCAATTAGAGTCCACACAATACTAACAACCAGAAGGCAAAATGGTAAGAGTCTCTCTCTCTCTCTTCGATTTATGTTGCACGCAACGATTTTAACCGTTTTTCCAACATTTGGAGTTTTTTTGAATCCCATCTATATCAAATATGACCAATGAGAAATTTAAGGGTGAATAAGAAATAAATACATAGCCATTTCTCTACAAACTGCTTGCGTGCCAGATCTCATGTGGAAAAGCAGCCACAAGTTATAGTTTGAAGATAACAGCAAGCAACAGGAATGTGTTAACTCTCATTTTGACATCCAATCCGGCGAAGCCACGTCACCCAAATACACTGAATCCCGGTGCATTTTGATGACGTGACAACACCAGACGCAATAATTCGCCCTCATTTTTCTTATCAATACTCCATCTTGCTGAACCTCCTCTTTATATTTTTCTTATCCAACAAAACACAGCTCAATCAGCTGCAGCAGAAATTAAAAAAAAAAAAAATTCAAAGCAGATCCCTTTATAATCTTATTCATGCTGAATCACAATACTTCGATCTTAATTATATACATGATCAATCATTAGCAAATCAAACAAAATCATAAAACATAACAAGCTCAAATTCAGATAAACTAAAAGTGCTTATCGATTGTAGAAATCCAAGCACAGTAAGCGCAAACTATCCTCTGAGAGATGTAGACATAGACAGCAAAAGAGAAGCTCATGAGAGCAACATCCTTCCAATCTCCTTTCTGCTTTGGGCTCATAGTCTCCTTCAACTCCTTGCCTAACTTCTCAGCCCGGCTGTATATTTGGGCTGGTGTCCAACGGCGTCGGCTCTCCTTTTCTTTCCTTTCTTTGCTTCCCGGCGGCGGTGAGAGGTGGCTCCGGCAAGGTAAGAAGCCCGGCTTGGTTCTTCGATCTGGTCTGCTGAGATGGATTGGATTGATGGTATGGAGAGAGTGGGAGAAAGAGAACGAGGCCATTGGGAGAGATTGGACGCTGAGATTGCCAAATAAGAGTGGATTAATTGATGAATCTGAATATCTGATTAAGAGCAGAGAGAAAGTTTTTATGAGTTGAAGATAAGAAAGAGAGAGCAGTAAAAAAAAAGGGTTGCTTGCAAAAATATCTTGGTGGTGGGGCAGGCGTGACTTTGTTTTTTATTTTTGAAATAATTACAAGTCATGGGATCATAATTTTTTTTAGTTTGATTATCATAAATTTGACCTCAAATCATAACTTAAATTCTTTTTATAATTTATTATTAGCCAAAGCAGTGGTGATGATCACTTATTTAAGGATTAGAGCTGAATACCTACAAAGTACCAACCCTTCGACATCCTCCTCTCGAGGATCCTTTCTTGGCCTCAATTCGCATCAAAACTTATTGGATTTTATGTAGTTCGTTTTTGGTATATGTGAAATTCATAAATTTTATGTCTTCTTGGGATGCTAATTAATGATATGATATGAAAATTTGATTCAAAGCAGGCACGAAAAATTTAAGTTCAGGGTCCTAAATCCTGACTTGTTTGAAAAATCATATCATGTCTAGGTAAACCCGCTAACCCGAAATGACATGAATTTGACTAGTGTCCCACATTGCGTCATGCTCACCTATCTCGACCCCACACCCCGCAGTCCCACATTATAGCTCGAGCTTGCACTCACGGCCTTGTAGGCTTGCACTTGTGCTTGCGTTACGTTCGTACCCTTGTTGGCATAGTCGCGTTGTTCGCCCGCTTGCAACCACGCACTCACCCGCATTTGTTGCCCATGCTCGACACTTGCACTTGCATGTTAGCTGGTATGGTTGAGTCAAACAGATAACCCAACGGGTTGGTTTATGAATGAATTTATGACTTATTTATCTAATTGGGTCGGGTTAAGGCTTGATCAGTAGAGGACGCGTCAATTTCAAATTAGACCCCAACCCAACCTGAAAACTCATTTTAATACTTCTATGCCCTTTAAAGAATCTTATGGTGTTAGATTGTTTTCAAGAAAATATTACTAGAACAAAAGTTAGAGATGTGCGACCAAATTGTACGAAAAAATATGCTTCGAGTTATGAATAAATTATGAAAGGATGATTATACATGCTAACACATCAAAGAAATAGAGAATGATCTATCCCAATCTGATATGTGAATTGCTCGCAACATGTTTAATTCCTAATAAAGCTTCAATAAGTTGATTCTATTATGACATGAGATATGAAGATGTAGACTTTATTTGGGACGATTTTATTACTGTTTCTTAAAGCAATTTTTTAATACAATAAATAAAATTTTTATACTAAAAAGTTACTTTAAGAAACAAAAAAAGTCATCCCAAACTAAGCTATAATAAAATAACTTATTAAACCACTCTTTTAGGTCAAGTAGAATAGGAATCACTATTAAATTCATAAAATAAAATGACATTTCACTATTATAGTAATTTTTTTAATCCATGTTATGTAGAAATGCAAACCAATATCAGGCCTTAGTAGAAGTGGAGGCCCAAAGGCCTCAAATCCGGTCCTTATTCACATTTCACTATTCCAGCTTCAAGCCTCGCCGGCGAGAATCCCGCCAATCCAAGGATCTCCACGCTGCCGATCCGCGTGACTTATCAATCTAACATCTAAACCGTCCATTCAACCTAAATCCAACGTTCAAAAAACTTCTTCCTCAATCCCGCCATAATTTTCCCATCGCATTAAAAATAGATGCGCCCTATAAAATTCCCTTAACACTTTCTTCCTAAAGAAACAGAATTCAAGAACTAAAGCGATCGCATTATCGTTTCCAAACCCTAATTACATTAATGGCGAGGACGAAGCAAACTGCTCGCAAGTCTACCGGCGGCAAGGCCCCGAGGAAGCAGTTGGCCACCAAGGCGGCGAGGAAGTCTGCGCCGGCGACCGGCGGCGTTAAGAAACCTCATCGTTTCCGTCCTGGAACAGTAGCGCTGAGGGAGATCAGGAAGTACCAGAAGAGTACCGAGCTCCTTATCCGCAAACTACCCTTCCAGCGCTTGGTCCGTGAAATTGCTCAGGATTTCAAGACTGATCTCCGATTCCAGAGTTCCGCCGTTGCCGCCCTTCAGGAGGCTGCGGAGTCTTACCTAGTCGGTCTTTTCGAGGATACAAATCTCTGCGCTATCCATGCAAAGAGGGTTACTATTATGCCCAAGGATATTCAACTGGCTCGCCGGATCCGGGGCGAGAGGGCTTGATATCTTGATGATTGATGTCAGGGGCTTTCTTTCCCGTTAAGGTTATTTTGCTCTGTAATATTTGTTTTTAAAAATCTTTCTGGTCGTTTTATTATCTAGTAATGTAGCAATGAACGCAAGGGTGGTTGCTTGGTTGAAATTTCTGGTAATTGGAATGGTGTTAGATTGTTGTCGTTGTTCAGGACTCAGTGCCAATTATATGGAATCAAAATTTCTGGTTATAATGTTGTATAAGATCGTATTCTTCCCTTTGCTTCAGTTATTAGTTTGTTTTCCATCTGATCAACTAAAAATCGTCTTTTTAAACGATTAATTTAATCGGATATTGGAATTAAGTTTTTTGTACTATGTTTATAAATTGATAGTTCATTAGTTCAATTTTGATTGTATTAGCATTTCTTGTTATGCTAGCTTTTGATGATTTAACTAGTAGCTTAGACAATGTATTTCTATTTTCATTATTATATGCAGTGTGCATTTTTGTATATCAGATTTTGTTTTTGAATTTTTTTTTTAAAACTATTACTTTAGCTAAAAATAGTATACTCAGTGCTAATACTGTACAAATGAGAATACTTAAGCTCAATTGAAGAACTTTTACAATATATATAGTAACAACAACAAAATTTGGGCATACTAATATAAGGAAAAACAAACCCAATGACTTCAAATAACATCAGCACAAAAACATTCAATTAGACATTTCTAATTATCATGTGTATGTGAGCTTAGACTCTTGTTTGAGTTGGATAATATTTGAAGTGGTACTTTAACTCCTTGAATATATTGTCATCCTTCTGCATTCAAGAACTCAATATCTTGTTTCACAACTATTCTCATTAGCTTCTTAGGGCATCTCCAATCGAATGCTAAACGAGTGTATGAAGTTGTTTCTCATTAGCTTCGCATTGTTCACTCACGCCATTTTTTACTCTTAATTGAAAAAATGCGCGAAAGGGAGAGCAATTGTTACCTTCTTAAAAACATCTAAAATGGTGTTCGATTGGAGCATCACTGCGACATTTTGAAGTTTTGCGTTACTTTGCCATGAAAAATGAAGTTTTTTTCGATTGGAGATGCCCTTATAAGAATTTATCCTCTCCACGACATCATGTGTGATATAGAATATTCTGATCTATATTGGCCATTGAGCTTTCAATGATCTTCAAAACACAATCTTTTTTGTCGTGTTGATTTCATGAATCCTCTTGAGAAAGTGCAATGAAACCCAATGCCCACTATTATTCAGGAACATATGTTGTATATATTTCCACCTAACATCTCTAAGGTCATTATCCGCTATGTACAACATAACTTTCATAACTTTGTCATACATGTCAAAATATGCAATCTTTATCTTTGCTTCAAAATTGCATATAACATCAAAAAAATTTCATTAGATTTGGCTTTTGCTTTGAGGATGCCATTTAGTATATAGCACTAATCTTATCAAGTGATTATTACCCTTTTAGATAATTTGATTCGTGGGTGTTGTCCAAATTAAATTTATAATCGGTTAATATATTGTGAAGTACTGTATAAGAAGTTATAGAATTTTTTCAAACTAACTTAAGCATGGGAGAGCCTTTTATATTTATACTCAAATGAAATATTGTTGAGCAAAAGTGCTTAAATTAAAAAATATATATAATAATTGGCAACAAAAAATATAATGACAAAAATAATAAAGATAACATTGAAAATATTTATTGATAGAACAACATAATTTTACATCTCAAGTCACATTTCTTAAATCAAACATGTGACAATTACAACATTCAATGTCATCAATTATGAATATGCAAGATTTAAATGTGTATGACAGTAACTATAAAAAAATACTAATAAAATTAGTAACAATATACTATGGCTCTATAATATCATAATAATAATAATAACTAATCATTTATTATGACTCATTACAATTAGACATAACAAATATTCATCATGTTAATTGCAATGTAACATTCATTTACAAACTCAATCTTATATTAATTCTCTCTAGTTATATAATATATGATCTTTAATAAAATGCTTTCTTTATTAATTCTTAATAAAAATAGCTATTTCTTTCATATATATATAAGACCCCGATTTCATGGGCAACTTATATAAATTTAATTTTCTTCTGATAACAATTAGCTTAATATATGTTTTAATCAAGCTAATTTTTAAAGTTTTCCCAAAAACTTATTTACAGTTCTAAAATGTAGTAAGAGCCATCAAACAGTAATTTATTTTCAATGGAGTTCGATTTTTAATATTATTAAAAAAGAATATTTTATGTATATTTTTCTCTACTTTTTTTATAAAAATATAAAAAAACTGTGTTGGTGAAAATAATTTTCTGAATGTGCTTGGTTGAAAAGAATTGTTTGGACTATAAGTATACACACTATGTACAAATATGTATATAGTTTGTAGACTCAAATTAAGGTTCACTTGAGCTATTCATAAAAAAAAAAAACAAATCATTTGTAGATCAAATTTTAAATCAGAATGCGCCACATCATCCAATACATAGTGATACCGAGCAAAAAAAATGACGCGACGTATTCTGATTGATTTCCGGATGCTGTCCGGGATCCGCACTGAATAAATTTTCGATAAAAGAATACCAGTAAAGGCTCATCGTAGTTGTCAACTTATATTCTAATAAAACATACAGCTTATTTATTATCACAAGCTTCTCTCTAACGTAATGGCTTTCAGTAACTACTTACAGTATAGAATAAAGTACAAAACCACAAATCAGAAGTAACTACGGATTACGATAATTGTATTATTTCCACTCAGTAATTTTAGTATTGATATTCTAACCTTCTCCAGTGTTTATCATTTATCCGAACTCCGTCGCATCAGTAATAGACGTGGCCAGCAGCTTCCATAAACATTACTGCAAGACCAGAATATAATCGGATTACCACAAAATTAGAAAATTTTTTTTAAATATGTCAGATTTACAACTTGCCTCAGGATAGCAATCTTGTCTAACGATTGTTTGGTTTGCTGGATTGACGTTAACAGAACAAGAAACTCTACCCTGCAGCAAATGAAAAAAGGGAGATCATTGGTCGATCAGAGCTTAGGCAAACATAGAAATAGTAAGATAAAAGATGAACTATCATGGAAGCAATAGAAACTGATTTAAATTGGCCTAAAGAACATTCGAACTGTTTAATATTCATGAAAAACGATAAAATTATATTTATTTATTTATTTTTATTTTTTTTCAATTTTGGTGGGAGTTGAACACATTTCTCAGGAGACCCAAATGACGCAGTTCTCATTTGTGAAAAACTATAACGCAGATTCATAAGATAGGCAAAGTTTTCTTCCACGCTAAATGATGAGTACCAAGTTTTAAATCAAGCAATGCCATCGAAATAAGGACAAAATTGATTGCCGGTAAGTAAAATAATTAGGGCATCTCCAACCGAAAATCTCATTTTTCACTCCAAAATAAAGTGAAACTAAAAAATGATGTGATTCATCTCCAATCGAACTCCATTTTGCGCGTTTTTGGGAAGGTAACGGTCTTTCACATCTTTCACATGTTTCTTCGGCAAATCCGGTTGAGAAAAAATTCGCGTAGGTGAACAGTCGCACTGTTCACTCTCCACCAATTAACGATTTTTTTGCAGTTCGAATGGAGCAAACCAGCTACGCCTTGTTTGGAGTTCGGCTCGAGACGCCCTTAGAATTACGACGAATTTTGGATTGGCAAAACCCCCAAAGATAAAGATTGAGTCTCATACACAAAATATACAACCAAAATCACAAGAAACAAAAAGTTAAGATTACGTTCTATCAAATAAGTATATGCATTGAAATTTATAATAAAGATACTTCCAATGAAACATAATGAATAGGTGTTAGAATTACAACATTTCAAAAATATGACAATTTCTTGAGGATTTTGATTTGGATTCAACCAAATGGGCTCTGAGTGCAGTTTCTATCAAAACTTCGCGAAACATTATCAGAAAGTTTACTCAATCATCACAATTTACTCCCTTCCGAACCTATATCTCGCTTAATTTAACAACTTATTAAATTGCTTGAACAGTCTAATTATCTTTTCATTGATGATTTTTCTATCTCAAAATTATTGCACCATACATTCCATGATTGAAAATTTTTAGGGCCATGGGGAGAAGATTGTCAGGAATCACCATCATGGCATTCAGCATATTCGTGACCAAGCATCCTCAACCTAAAAAGCTTCAGCTTATTTGGCATGGGACATCTTAGGATCCACAGATCCTTAATAAAAATTGTTATGTGTGAAATTTAATTTAATTAACTATTTTGGATAAAATTAGCCTAAAAAGCTTCAGTTTATTTGGCATGGGACATCTTAGGATCCACAGATCCTTAATAAAAATTGTTGTGTGAAATTTAATTTAATTAACTATTTTGGATAAGATTAACTCTCAATTTTTCATATTTTGTAGCTACAAACTTCATATTTATTCACTTAATTTTTTAAGGTGACGGCTATATAAATCAATTCATACGTGATTTTTCAAAATGATGCAAACTCAAGTATCATTAAATTCAAGCATATCAACTACTACGTATAAGCACAATATAAAGAGATGACTACGTTGTTTTCAAACATTCCACATAAAGAAACAACACAAAAAGAAGAGGAAGATGATAGAGGAGAGGGGTGTTATCCAAGAAAGAAAATTATAAATTTTTTTAGAGCTTCTAAGAGAAGTTCATCAGCTTTTTCAAGAAGGAAGAAGTGTAACTATTTCTAGCTATACTAAGAGAAGAAGCTCATAGTTATGATAAGAAATAATTCTCATTTGGACTCCTATAATAGTAACTGTGGATTGTAATTAGAGCAATAACAGCATCTCCTTCACATATAGCCCTCAAATTCATAGCAAATACATGCAATTTCTCTCAACTGGATAAAGTTATATTTTTATCAATATATCTAACTTTGTCTGAAGCGTGATCCTTGATATACTTCTCTAAAATTTAGTGGATTATTCAAACCCTATGCGGCCATTGACGTAGACCTAATTTGAGCGACATAAATTTTAGTGTTGTCTTTTTGTGCTGCTTAATCTTTTTTGTGGCTGTTTTGTGATTCATCATACTTCTTCCAAGGTTAACGAACACTCCCTTTTCTTAATAGTTGGTATTAAAGTGAGGTTATAAAAAGTATGATGGTCATGAAATTTTTTATTGAGAAGTTTGATGGCTCAAAATATTTTGAGCCTATAGAGAACCAAAATGTGTGATGTACTTGTTTAATAAGGATTTGTAAAAGCACTCATGGAGAATAGCAGAAAAACTTGAAACAATGAGTTAGGAAGACAAGATAAAGATGCATAAGAAGACTATATTAGTGATTTGACCGCATTTGGTGGACAAGATCTTGACAGAGGAAACAGGGGAAATAACTGTAGAAAGTTTGTAGCTCAAGATGGAGTTTTTATATATGATCAAAGGCGTTCCCAACAAACATTATCAGAAGCAAGAACTCAATTTACTTCACATACAAAAATGTATGCTTATTAAGTCACATCTGAATGATCTTAATCACATCATGAGAGTTTTAAAGAATATTGATGTGAGTTGATAATGAAAAACAAGCTTAGTTACTATTATGCTCTATACCCTCTTACAAGCACTTCAAGATACTATGCTATATAATCGTGATATAATAAGTTTAGAGGATGGAAAAAATTCGTTTCTTTCAAAAGAGATGATTACTAAGCTCAAGACAAATGATAAACCAACAGAAGGTTTATTGTAGGTTAAAAGAAGATCATTTGAGCGCGGGTTCTTCTACTTATGCTAGGAGTCAATATCAAAATAAATTTTAAGAGATTGCTTGTTTCTATTATAAGAGAAAATAACACATAAAGAAGAATAATTTTGTTTTGAAGAAAAAAGAGCGAAAAATATATGATGACTAGAAGAAGGATTAGCCAATTCATTCAATTACTAGTGCAAATTTTTCTACTTATGAAATTGATAATGCACTTTTGGTAACTAAAGATAATAGATGTGAAGACAGTAAATTCTTTACTTAGCTTATTCTATGTTCATGTCTACTAATTTAGATGTGTTTTGCATGCATGACCCAAGTTCTAGCGGTTATGTCTAGGGTGTAAATGAGCCGACCAAGTCCGAGAACCGGCTCGAACTCGAGTCGCTAACAAGCTCATGAGTTGATCTTACCGAGCCATGAGTTCAAACTTGAACTCATATATTACATGAGCTCGAGCTCAAACTGGTTCAGCTCGACAGCTTGTCGAGCTGCTCAATTAATTTAATATCCATTCAAAATTTGAATTCAAAAAAGGCGATATTCATATCTGATTGTGCATTTCCCTTCTTGAGTCCTTTAACAAGTAGTGAATAGCAAGTTGCACCAATAGCATCTATGAGGGAGCAGCAGTGTGGAACTCATCTTGTTGCCCTAAGCCCTAATGTTGACATTTCATTTCTTTTCCAAAGCCCTAATTTCTACTCACAATTTCCTGAGTTGACAATACCCTTCTCAAACAGGCGAGCCTTCGTACTTCAGCCATGCTTTACAAATCTTGATTTTCTGGCATACACAAGTTGAGATGAACAAAGGCCTCATGCAGGGATGCTTCTTCTCTAAGGTAGATGTTTTCCCTCTCATATCATTTCATTCTTTTTTTCTAATGTAAATTAGAGATCTTTTCATTCTTTTCAAGCATGTATATCTAACTTTCTTGTATTCACCACTTCTACTCTAGATTTTGATTTATTTTTCTCTTGATAGAAGTCCTTCATTCATATTTTTCTCTTAGGGTTCATTGGATTTTTTTTATGTTGTTGGATGCAATGTGAAGTTTTTTTTCCTTTTTTTTTTTTAAGTTGTTGTGGTTTTTTCTAAAGAGACTTGATCATCTTGCTTTTCTTGAAGATATTTATTGATGACAATAATGTTAAATATTTTTTTGTTATGATTTATTTAGCATGTCAACACAAAGAATTATAGGAATGAAAATCTTGAGGATCAACTTAAATCTAAGATTTATTTTACCATTAGTTTTATTAAAATTGCATGCAATTTTGATGATCCAGTTGAGTTCATTTTTTTAATTCTCATGTAACTTGAAAATTTTTCTTTTCAAATTAAAATTTAAAGCTGACTACAAACTTTAAATAACTAAATTATTTATTACAAATGCAAACAAAATTTTAATTGTATGTTGAAAAATTCAAAATCTAAGAAATTAGAAAATTTTGATAATTAAAATAAGAAATCAAGCTCAATAATAGAGCAAATCTCGAGCTTTTCAATCGAGCTCGACACTAGCATTATTTGTTAAGTCAAATTTAGCTCAATAAATGAAGTTGGGTTGAGCTTGGGCACCAGTTCGAGCTAAATTAAATAATCATAATTCAATTTAGCAAATACTCAACTCAACTCGTTTACACCTCTAGTTGTGTTTAAAGGCAATGTGCATTGTTGGAGGTTCCAAGACTATGCAGTTCAGAGCATACTATGGTGTAACTATATCATTGGTTGTGGTTAAGCATTTACTAGATTTGAAGAAAAATATAATACTTTTTAAGTGCTCTTATATTGTTGCAGGGTATAAATTCTTTAGTGGTGTTGACACCCTTAAGGCCTATAAGGCTATGTTGGTTGTGTTGAAGGAGAATAGAGTTAGTGAACTATATAATGCATATGTTGAAGAGTGCAATATCATGCGTTGATGTATTAAATTAAAAATCTATAATAGTAGCTTGTTAATGTTAGAATGGTGCTAAGTATATGATGTCGAGTTCTACAAAAATGGGAGCTATTATGAAATTTATTGTTCTCACCACTATCTTATAAATTTTTTCCTAAAATTTAATAGGTACTTTTCTATCACACAACAGGCCCGATGCATTCAGTTAGCTCAACCTCGCGGGATCGCGACCCTTATGGGCTGGCCGATTTTATTGGGAGGAAATTATGAAGTTTCCTAATGAAGAGGAAGTTGTTTAGGGAGGTTCTTAATCAAAGGAGATTAATTAGAAGATGCTTCC